TTATAAATAAGTGTATAAATTAACGAATGAACAAGAAATTTATAATGCAATATTAATTTATGTTTAAATTTAATACAATTACAAATATATAAATACTTACAATCCTTTAATATATATATATTGTTTTTAAATACGACAATATTCTACAAGCAAACATTTCCTTTTACTTTAAAAATAAAAACAAACACCTTTGACACTTTATGCAACAGAAATTTGAGGTTATATTGCATTCTAGCGGAAAGTGCTCGCGCCATGCAAGGTGCTAGAAGACGTCGGCGAGATAAACTACCATGCAAATTCCAGTGGTGGCGCTAGCATATATCTAGGCTTTCATTAAATTTTTCTACCTGGGCGAGGCAGCTTTTAATGTTCTTTATTTTTATGTATCTCTCGCTGTCACTATGATAGTAATGTGTAAATTTTGTCCCTATCTCGAATAAGATCGTGGGATTAAATCGATCAAGAGTATCTTAATCCCGCAACTAGTCTCGACGATTAGAATGATTTAGTTACTTAAATAGTGTACCGTTCTTCGCACGTTTTTATCGCCTTTACTTCCCGTCGTGAAGAATACTAATGGTTATGCAAGCTGTTCGCCATCGCTAACGGGGACGTTTTTAGCACGAAGCACCACACATTTTTTGTATACTAGACGAAAATTGCGCGCGCCAACGGTATTTAGCATTTGGTAATGAAAAATTAATTTTTAACACATACACTACCGTCCAAAAGTATCAGGACGATTACATTCGACTCTATGAAAAAACATGCCATCACTTTTTCAATCATATCTCGGAAATAAAAGGAGGTACAAAAAAAACTTAAATACGGTTAGAAAGCTGATTAAATTCTGCGTAAAATAAAGGCGCTAGCACAGTTCCTACTGCCTGCCTGCAGGTTGACATGGTAACACATAAGAGTAAGAGAGTCAGAAAATTCAAATTAAATGTTTTTTCTCTCTCACTCTTATGGCGCCTGCCTGCACAGGCAGGCAGGCAGTAGAGGTGAGAGTGTACCTTAAGCTGTCGTTGAAGTCATTTCGTTAATTATTTTTTAAGTTGTAGAGTGACAAAGAAATAAAAAAAATTATCAAATTTTCTCATTTTTGTCTCTTGACTTTAACTTTTTCAAAAATCTAGAATAATTTAGATAAAATTTTTCTAAAAACACAAAAATCTTCGTTAGAATTTCAGCTTTAAAATAAGCCTTCGGAAATTTAAAAGGTTAATCCGTCTTCGATACATCATTAAAAAAGTGAAGCCGTGTTTCGACCGATTGGTGCATTGAAATTCAACTCCCAAGAGAAATGTAATACTGGCATAGTACTGACCCAGTACTGACTGCCAGTATAGCAGTACTGACTCCAGTACTAAATCAGTACTGGGAAATCCCTGGCTGGTAACGCTGTCCAGTACTGATTTTTTACTGGCAGTCAGCACTAAGTCAGTATTAAAGAAAAAGGAGTAATTTATTGAATACTAATAATTATTATTAATATTTCTGTAGTAAACAAACTTTTATGAGTAACAATAAAAATGTAAATAATTAGCAAAATTGCTTTTATTGAAATAAGTTTTAAAAAAAAATTTTTCTTTTTTTTTCATTAATTGATACAATCTTATTTATTTTAATTATTTACTAAATTATTATTATTATTGTTTATAATTATTTAAATTTATATTTTATGTAACACTGTTGAGAATTATACACTTAACACTAAGAACTAAGACGGAAAAATATCGCACGCACGGGGAATCGAACCCTAGACCTCGAGGACGCAAGTCGAATACACTAACCGCACAGCAACACAAGCTTGGAAGTGATTTTACTCAAACTTCCTTTTGATCTATGGGAAGGATATATACAGTGCTATAATAATGAATTCACTGTATATTATATTTATTTAAAGAAAAATTATTATAAATATATGTTTTACATATTTATATACATTTTAACAAGACATTCTCATTATATATTAATTAATAGGTATAGCATAAAAATATGGTACAAATTATTAATTTAATTATTTATTTATTATTTTTAAATTATTTAATTAGGGGAAGTGCGCCGGTTGTGGGCACCCTCCGGTTGTGGGCACCCCTACGTAAACTTCGACGGCAAGCAGACTTTACTGAACTAAGTATTGCAAGTCGTGTTCGTTGACAATACGGACTTTTCGTATTGATAACGAAACAAATATATGCATTTGTGTAATAGCTGTGAGCATAATAAAGAAAATTTGCATTAAATAAATAAAAAAGTAATTTTGTATTGTTTTCGAAGAGCAACATATGGATGTAGATTCGTTCAGAAAAAAAGGGTTTAATTTTTTTTTTGCAGTGTTGTCATTATATTTTGTGATTTACCTTCGTGTTTAACCAAAATCCTGCATCACAAAATGTGTTGGTCTTTTTAAAAAATGACTGTCATTCCCGGTTGTGGGCACCTTTATGTTAAGGAGGCTCTACCATCTGACAATGATGAGGACTACTGTCTCATCTATCTAAACTTTCTGCCAAGGAAAGTGACAGCCGCAAACTCCATTAAATGCGATGAATATAGTCGTTCAGTGCATTAGAAGTGCGTTATGGTATGCGTACTAGCTACTTCACATGCAAGCATTATGCTTTTGTTAGCGATGAGCATAGTGTGAAAACGTGTCATCATTTTTGTTCTTTATCCCGGCAAATTCTCTTAAAATAAAGAAACTTTCATTTCTTCTTTATTTGTGTTGGTTTCCTTTAATATTTTTCCATTTTTAGCGGATTTTTCAATGGTGCCCACAACCGGGTACAAAATTTTTTTTGTCAAAAAATTCCCATTTCACTAAATTTCTAATAAAACTTTTTTATTTAAAGGAATCAATTTAATTCCTTCACTGACAGTCACCTTAGACCTCTAGCTTTAAATTCGTACACATATATTTGAATAATATGCACATGGACAAATGTTATGAGGCAAAAACAAAAGGGTGCCCACAACCGGAACACTTCCCTTATTTATTAAAATAATAATAAAAAATGTATATATTTATACATTTAAAAAAAAATTTTTTTTTAATTTTATTATTAATAATACATAATAGTAAAAATAATTAATAATTAATAATATATTAATTAAGTGTTTGATGTTATTGTTGATGAATAATGTTTTTAAAAATTTTGGAAAATATTTTAATAGTTAATAAATCAAACGATGTTGTTATTAATAGTGGCCGGTTTAATGCCATTATAACAAATCTTGTATGTTTTTTAACTCCTTCGCAGTACTGATTTGGTGTTATGCCAGTTTTCTGCCAGTACTGATTTTAATATTTTTTTAACTCCGACGTATTACTGATTCGGTTTTGGAGTCAGTATACTCCCAGTACTGATCGGGTTCTGAAAGTCAGTACCGACGGTCAGTACTGAGTCAGTACCATGCCGGTGTTTAACTCCGTTCTAACTCCGGACATTTCTACTTAGGCTGTGACAACTCGATTCTGGCTTCGCGCGGCAGCGAATGAGAGAAAACAGGGACGAATTTTTGCTGGAGATAAATCTCTCATTCGCTGCCGCGCGAAGCCACAATCGAGTCGTCACAGTTGAATTTCAATGCACCAATCGGTCGAAACACGCCTTCACATTTTTAATGATATATCAAAGACGGATTAACCTTTTTTAATTTTCGAAAACTTATTTTAAAGCTGAAATTCTAACGAAGATTTCTGTGTTTTTAGAAAAATTTTTCTAGATTTATGAAAAAGTTGAAGTCAAGAGACAAAAATGAGAAAATTTGATAATTTTTTTTATTTCTTTCTCACTCTACAACTTAAAAAATAATTAACGAAATGACTTCAAAGACGGCTTATTTTACGCAGAATTTAATCAGCTTTCTAACCGTATTTAAGTTTTTCTTTTATCACCTTTTATTTACGAGATATGATTGAAAAAGTGATGGCATGTTTTTTCATAGAGTCGAATGTAATCGTCCTGATACTTTTGGACGGTAGTGTAATTAAAAATAATTTATAAAAAATAGAAATACTTATATAAAATAAATGATCAATTTTGTTTAGTGTAAAAAACATTCATTAATTATTTTTACACATGAAGTAATACGAACAAAATCTTTAAAAATTAGGCCTAATTTTAATCAAATAAATTTTTTAAAAATGAAGAAAAAATAAAATAAATTTTTTGTATATAATAACTAAAATATTATACAAACATTAAGGGAAAAATTATTATAAAATAAATAAATGTATTTATAAATCTGAATCAGTGAAATTCTGCTTAAGATTAGTGAAATTTCACTGAAAATCGGTGACTCTATTCTCGCGATTTGAATCAGTCATTTTTCACTGAAAATCAGTTCAAAATCACTGAAATATCAGTCATTTTTCACTGCTTGGCTAATTAGAAAGTTACTTGAAATTTCAGTCATTATTTAATTGACCAATCAGGAAAATATGACTGAAATTTAAATAAATTTTAACTGATCTTCAGGGGAATTTCACTGATTCATGTCGACTCGAAACTAAATTAATAAACTGAATTAACTTTCAAGTCGACAGGAAACTAAAATCAGTTTGTTAATTTAGTTTTGAGTCGACACGAAATTAAACTTTCCCCTATTATTTATTATTGTAACCATACAATTTACTTTTACAGAAATATCGAACATAAAAAAATCACGAACAAATGGTCACATAAATAATTATAAGATTTCAATTAGAATAACTCGAGCAAATGAAGCAAAAAGAACAAATTAATTCAAAAGCATAGACATAAAATTATTATAAAATTATTTAACAAAGAGAGATATCGTTTTATTCACTTTATAATCAATTATCAATATTCAACGTTCGATTAAACGAAGTATCACGATAAACATAAAATATTATACACACACATACAATAAGATATCATACACACATTCATTCTATACACACATATTCAATTTTACATATATCAAAGAGAGAGGAACAAACGTTATAAAAAATACAGTAAAATACGGACCAATGTCATTTGATGTTCGCCGCCCTCGAAAGGTTAATTAGATCGATCGCCTGGATTTGTGGTATGATCTCAGGTTGGAGATTGACGGTTTATTTCCGTGGTTACGTTAGATGACAATGTTCCCAAGATTTATCCGGAGTAATGACAACTGCAAACGCTAAATCGTACAGGTGATTCTTCTAGCAATGTGGTTTTGCAAGCAAAAATCCCAATTGTGCATCAAAAATCTCCCAAATCACAACCATCAAAAGCGGAACGATTTTCCCAAATAATTCGCCACTCTATAAGACAAAATAATATTTTACAACCGATCACTCAATATAGATTCAACTTTACACTTTTACCTTATGAGTTCTCGGCGAGATACATAAGCTGTGGCGAAGATCGCTCACTCGACCAAAGGGCGACGAGACATTAGCTATTAAAACGACGAAATATAAAATTCAATCGTCTCTCCCTACTTATTTCTACGTCGGTTCCCGAAGGCATTTTCGAGGCTTTCCGGATTTTTGCACTCACATATAGTTTTCGATACTCTGCCTTTACGCATACTTTAATAACATCATTCTCTTACTCTCTCATAATACTATATCGCTACATTATTAAACCTTCTTATAATATAAATATAATTTTATTTAAAAAAAATTCTAGGATAATAAATAAATTAAAATAAATAAATCTTAAAATACAGTACCGTGAGAAATTGTCGGTACGAACGACGGGCAAGCTAAGAAAAATTGCTGCTGAAATTAAATGAACATAGTTTATTATTAAAAAATGATAGCAACTTCACTGAGAAAACATAATTAATTCAAATACAAAAATAATTTTAGATGATTTTGTTTAATTGAAATTAGTTTATAAGCCTAGTCCCAATATATATAGAAAACATCTACTGCTTTGATTCAAAAGTAATATAATGAGTAAACTGAAAAACCCTTATATACTAAGTTTTATAAAAATTAGATTTGGCATTTAACAAACTTCTTCCTGTCTATTTAATTTTCCGAATTTAAAAATTAACACAATCAGAAATTTAACATTTAATAATTTTTTAAATTCAAAAATATATCTAAATTTACAAATACTTCATTTTTTATATACCGTAAGTGAGGCTAAATTCGCTCATGTAGGGTAAATTCGCTCAACCGATGTCTATTTTTTAAAATTCGATTAACATACTTTTTAGACAGAAATATTTAAGATTTACAATTGTTTTGGTTAATATAAATGGTAAACTTTAATTTAAAATTTATTTGCAGCAAATTCATTGGTAACTTTCAGTAGAAATTATATTTAAAACACAAGTGAATAATTTTCATATTGAACAAGTAGTATGAAAAAGTAGGAAATAAAGCTTTACTTCAAAATTTTTAAGCTGAATACTTCTGAACATTACATTTCCTGTATCTCCAACATGATATTCATAAAGCACAAAAATTAAAGCAATAAACAGATTCTGCAAAAAATCAATTAAAAAAAAAAATTCAAATTTGTTGTGTAAATTCGCTCAGGAAATAAGTCTACAAAAAAGATGTTTGGGCCTGGATATTTTAAGTATGTTAATTACTTTAATTTATAATTCGATTTTTTGAAATAATAGTACTCTTATAACTGAAAATTAAACGATTTAAAACGGTTTAAGCACTAAACTGTCAAACTTAACCTTGTTTTTTTATGGTTATGAGTACGTTTGATTGAATGATTGAATCTAATTACTTATTGATAAAACAATATTAAATATTTATTCCAATAACTTTGAATATAGTTCTTAATTTTTTTCTTTATTGATTCTAAAGAATATTTAGTTTCATTTTTGCAGATTATAATATATTTTGCCAGAATAATAATGGTGAGCGAATTTACCCATCATTTAAAGGTAAATTCGCTCACAAAAAAACGGCTTATAAATAATTTTCTGCAACATATTTCAATTTCTTTATGCAGTAATAGGAAAGATAAAGGGTTAAAGATTATATATTTTCAGTGCCAATGTTTATTTTCATCGTTTCCCGAAGTTATTTAAAAAAGAATTGAAAAATTGAGCGAATTTAGCCTCACTTACGGTAGTTTTTGATAGTGGAACAAAATGCAACAAAATGTTGAAGAAAAAGTTGATGAGTGATTTGTGTTAATATTTAAATAAGTAACGAATCTTCAATTTCTGAGAAATTTGATTTCTAAATTGTTAGAGAAGTAACTGAAATTTAAATACAAATTTAAAATTACCCGCGTTCAGCACCTCTTTCGGTGGCGTCCTAAACTTAAAACTAAGCTTCAATCTCTAACAGGGAGAGGGGGGGGTCAAGACATTTGTGACGATCTATAGAAAAATGGCGCTAATATATGGAACAGTGTATGACATGGGGAGGGGGGATGTCGAAAATGGTCAAAAATCGCGTGACGTATTATGGGTACGGTCCCTAAAAAATATTCTTAAATTTATGTTTAATGCCGCAAGTTTTAATTGAAATCTAATAAACTTGTAAAGAGGGAAGAATTGAATAATTACAAAGTAAATAAATATCGAAGTCAGTATTTTTAAAAGAATTTCAGTTTTATAAATAAGAAATTTCCAGCTTGAACATGAAGTTACATGACGCTGGTGACAACCAACGCCTCTTTCTGTGGCGTCATGTAACTTCTCTCATCTACTTCATAATATATCTTCTACTATTTCGTTACTCCAATATTTGAATAATCCAATTTTTCCCAGACTTTTAATAAAATTTTCTATAAGAAAAATTTTTCTAAACTGATTGATTCGGGAACAATTAGAGAACAATATTTTTTGTTGTAAAAGGAGAAGGAAAATTGATGATGAGTATAACAAATTGAAGTAATTACTGAAATGAAAGTCTTCTATGTATCAGATAATATTTGCGTGATTTGTTCTGTGACTATATAACACCTGCTTTCCTTTCTCATTCCCCATTAAGTTCCACCTTTCCTCTTTGGGTTCTCCGGGATCCATGCAGGATACTTGGAGTGACTAACGACTGGCAATTGTCTTCGCGATGGCTCATTAATTTCCGCAACCGGCGAGGTCGCCTGCCTCGAAACTCTCTTTCTCTGCGCGTACTCGCGCGCACACTTTATATCCCTCTCTTGTTTATGTGTGTATTCCGGTGACAAGTCTTCTGTTTCAAGATGTACGATCAGAATCATTAATGCAAAAATTCATCTTCATAAAACAATTCGACGAAAATTGTTTGCTATTTATCACTCGAATTCGTTGAATCAATCTTTTACGAGATCTTTTCGATTTGTTTTTGCTAAATCTCAACTAATCGTTTTTTTATCACAATAATTGAATTGTCGAAAAAATTACATAGCCACTAGGTTACACAATTTTTTGGATAGTTCAGTTATTAATTACGAAAATCTAAAAAGATTTTATTGAAGTTTAGTAATTTTTTGTTTTCCGATAAAAAATTATTATCTGAAGATAAAAATAATACTAAGGCCAAAGTCAAATAAGAGTTGCAAACTAAAGGCTGAGGGAAAATTTTAAATAAAGACCATGACTAAAGTTTAGGCAAAAATTAAGGCTAAAAGTAAAATTATGACTAAAATTGATGCTGAAATTCAGCCTTTAACTGAGGCTAAAATTCAAAATGGACAAAATTTAAGCTAACAAAGTTATGGCTTAAGCTACTCGTGAGGCTAGAATAAAGGCTAAACTATAATTAGGACTAAACCTAAAGCTGATATTGAAAATAGACAAGGCTTTATCTTAGGCGCAAAGTAAGGCTTCAAATATATAATTAAGTTTACGGCTAAAGTCAAAGTTTAAGATTAAAGAGATTCTAAAGGATGGAACCCTTGCTGGCAATTTATCTTTAAACGCAGAGAATATTTAGAAACGAATACCAATATTTTATGCACTATAAAAAAATTTTCTTACAAAAACAAAAATATCTCTTCCTAACATGTATGAGATATTAATTACCCTGATAGAAAAGTTTGTATATTTTTCGAGTTTGGAATAATAATTTACTTTTCTAACGTACGGCGTTGATGGCATCGAGTTGGTAGCATGTAGAAGTCTTTGGCGGTAAATAGTTATCCTCAGAGGTGGCGGTGCTTTCATATTCCATTCGTCATGACAGCGCAGCAGGAGATCCACACGCTTCTAAATCAACGATATTCTTATCTTGTACACGAGCTGACTTCTCTCGTTCATTCCAAAGAGCTCCATCCGAGGTTTATTCTTGCTTCGACCCTTTTGTGTATATATATATATATATATATATATATATATATATATATATATATATATAAAACTCTCGGCACACGCACGGTCCGTTTGTCATTTTCCATTGGTTTAACACCGCGGACCAAAGTGAAGCGTGTTGATGATGCTGATCTTTTGGAAATAACCGACTCCCGCTGTGGTCACAATATTTCATCTCGGGATATAGCATTTTTTTTTAAAGTTCTTTTTTTGAATGGAAAGTGTAATTGGAAAATGTCACTCGACTTGTATAATTTAAACGATTTGGGATAGATGGTTTTTTAGGAGGGGATTAGGGATTTCTAAAAGTACACGGCACTTTTCCTTAATTTTATGCTTAAAAAATTCGGGACAAAATTATGTTTAATTTAGTTATTTGTAAACAGAAATAAAATACAGTTGTATTTTGTAAATAGAAATCTAATTCGGTTATGTTTGTAAATAGGAATATAATTTAGCTATTTAATCTAGCAATGGATAGATATCTACCTTGCCGATTCTGTACTAATTCGCTTTTAAAATGAAAACTTTTTGACATTATGACTCAATGCAAGTACAGGCACTTAATTTTGGGTCTAATTAAAGATTTGTTGATTTTCAGAAATTTCCATTCCGTAATTACTACGTAACTTATTCGGAAAAAAATAGATTTCGTTGTTGTCACTATCGTTTTTAGTCTTAGTGACAGTTTTGCGATTTATATTGCTATTGTTATTTAGGCTAGTGATTTTTTTTATTTTGTCATAAAAACTTTTGTTATTAATATTAATGTATTTGTATAAATTATTGTTGCTTTGTTAATGCTTTTATTACTGGTTGTTATTGATATTTTTTTGCTATTGTTAATATTGCTACTGTTCTTGATAATAATTCTTTTGGTGTTTAAATTAGTTATTCTGATTGCTGTTCCATCTACTGGTATTTTTATTGTTTTTATTGTTTTTATTGTAATACCATGTATTAACATCCATAATTATTAACATTAATAATTGTTTTTTTGTTGTTTCTTTTGTTTTAATAGACATTTTTGTTATTCTTGTTGTTGTTATTGTTATTTTTTCTGCTCTTACATATACTGTTATTGTTGTTTCTATTGTTTAATCATTACTTATATTATTAATGTTGATGTTGTAACTGTTTCTGCTATTCTTGTTTTCTAAGATGATGTTATTGAGTCAAAATACGTTAAGTGTACCAGCACAAAATTAACA